CCCGCAGACCCATGAGTCTCCAGCCTAGCTCTCTTCTGTGCTTTGGAGAACTCCTTTTCCAAGGCTTGGTGCCTCCTGGTAGCTTGTTTATCAGTCTGTTTAGACGTTTTGGTGGTAGAACGGCTCTTATGGGTCGCTTTACCAGTGCCTTCCGGACCAGGAGTACCTGATGAGGAAGGCGGGGCACTCATTGAGGAAAGAGAAGTTTCCTCCATTTTCCGATAACACTGAAACACAATAGGGGGTTTCTGTTATCAGGAAAATGTCAAACACTGGGTAAGGACAGACGGACTACAGGGACGCCTGGAACCCAGGTATAATCCCGGTTGGATAAGGACAGGTACACTGCTGGGGCACCTGGAATCCAAGGGAGAAACCACATACGAATAAGGACAGACACTCTATAAGGGGAGCCTGGAATTCGTACTGAAAATACTGTGGATAAGAACAGACACGCTGATGGGGAGTCTGGAATCCCAGTACAGTGCCAATTAATCTGTGCCAATTAATCAATTCCAAATGAAGGACCAGGAGACACCAAATTTGAGTCCAATGAGCCAATTGTAACCAGAAGTTTTTTGGGCCAAGAATAAAGGAAGGGATCTGCCTCTATATGCAGAAAAGAAGAGCACAAAATGGCGGCCTCACTAAAATGGCGGCCTACCTTACTACAGAAAAATGGTAACCCAGTATTACCACCCTTGGCAGAAAGGAAAACTTGATTGCCAATTGGAAATTATGCAAGAGCCCTAACTAGCTTAATTCCGTTCACCAAATAATTATTATGAGTGTATATCCAGGTTAATTTGTTTCACTGAACAAGTAATCCAATTTTTGTAGAGCAAACTGTGGTCTCAAAATGGCCACCGCGGCCTATTCAAGGACCACGAGACTCAAGATGGCGCCTCCCCGACGCCAGCAGGGCTGGGGAAATAATTTCCCCCCCTCCCCGCACTCCCTGGAGCCTCCGTTCGCCAGTGATCGAGGAAAAAAGGGAATGGAGCAAATGAACATTTCCCTATCCTCCGAACAGCAGTCCGATCGCCGATCGAAGCAGAGGCTGAACGCGCGCGCGCGCACCTCCGCACTTTTCTAGACGAAAAGGAAGGGAAAAAACCAACCGGGCTACGGGCTGCAGCCGCAGCTCCGTGCAGAAATTTAGTTTAGGAAGTGACCCAAGGGTCTCCACCCCCCTCCTCTCCGGTTTGATCCACACAGCCGAATCCACGGAGCCACAGCCGCAAGCTCCGTGAGGCCTGTGTACTTGGAGACCAACAGCCGTAGGCCTCCTACTGGGCTAAACGGAACGAGCCGATCAACGGAGAAACTTTTCTCCCCCCCCCCCGGGGCTTTTCTCCACCGTTCAGCAGCCTACGGAGCCACAGCCGCAAGCTCCGTGAGGCTTGTGGTATGAGGAGACCAACAGCCGTTGGTCTCCTGTCGGGAGAATAGCAAAAAAACCTCCGATTCACTGCTAGGCCCAACCCAAAGCGAAATTAGAGTTGAGGCTAACAGCCGTTAGCCTCTTGTGAATCCCTGCAGGGAATTTGATAGGGGAAAAATTCCAAATTGATGGCAAGCACTAATTAAATTTAGAAACTGGGAGAGGGAATGGAAAATCCACCATTGACTGTACCTGCCTAGAGCCAAACTTGCAACGTCTGTCCTGGGCAAGATCAAGTCAAAGACTGGAGATCAACGGTCCAGGACGGGCGTGGCAACTTTGGCTGACTTGATCTGATTGGGCAGGAATACAGTCTACTACCCAATGGTGGATTCTCCATCTCAAGTGCTAGAGAAGCTACAAAATACTGTATGCTCATTGTGAGATACACCTCCACACTTTGAGCCACAGTACCAAAATTTGCTCTTTCCATTGTCTGATCAATGTCCTTTTAAATTACAAACCCTGGGCTCACTGGAACTCAGTCCCTCTGGAACTGGAGCTCTGCAGTGCATGCAGTCTGAACCCCTTTCCAAAGGCTAGAGACCAGGAGGTTGTGAGTTCCAGTCCTGCCTCAGGCATGAAAACCAACTGGATGACTTTGAGCCAGTCACTCTCTCTTAGCCCAACCCACCTCACAGTGTAGTTGTGGTGGGGATGAGAGGAGGAGGAGCTGAATATGCTGAATATGTCTGCTGCCTTGCGTTATTTGCAAAATAATAAAGAAGGGGATACACATACACACACACATACATGCATGCATACAGAAATGCTTTAGAACATGGGTGTCCAACTTGGCAGACATCAAGTTGAGGGAGGTTGACTTGCACTGGGGAAAGGCAGCCTAAATATTAGATTGTTGTTGTTAGTTGCGAAGTCGTGTCCGACCCATCGCGACCCCATGGACCACGTTCCTCCAGGCCTTCCTGTCCTCTCCCATCTTCTGGAGTTCATTTAAGCTCATGCCTATTGCTTCAGGGACTCCATCCAGCCACCTCATTCTCCGTCGTCCCCTTCTTCTCTTGCCCTCCATCTTTCCCAGCATCAGGCTCTTCTCCAGGGAGTCCTTCCTTCTCATGAGGTGGCCAAAGGACTTGAGTTTCCACTTCAGGATCTGGCCTTCTAAGGAGCAGTCAGGGTTGATTTCCTCTAGGATCGACCGGTTTGACCGCCTTGCAGTCCAGGGGACTGGCAGGAGTCTTCTCCGGCACCAGAGTTCAAAGGCCTCCATTCTTTGGCACTCAGCCTTTCTTATGGTCAAATATTAGATACTGGAGCTCAAATGCTTTGTCCACTTAATGAGAAGGGAGGACTCACTGGAAAAAATCCTGATGATGTTGGGAAAGGGTGAAGGCCAAAAGGAGAAGCAGGTGGTCAAATAGAGTATAGGTCCTCCTGCTTGAGCAGGAGGGGTGGACTAGAAGACCTCCAAGGTCCCATCCAACTCTATCCTATTCTAAAAAAGAGTCATTGACGCATTCTCTCCTAAAGCTGGGCTTCCGGACCGCCCCCCCTCGCCGCAGGGAGACGGAACCGCCTAGATGGTTCCGTCCCAGGCGACTGATGGACCCTGAGAGGTTCCTGATGGAGCTTGGGCCATATCCGGAGGATCTGGTCCACGACTCGGCGGAAAATCAGGCGGCGGCTTGGGAGACAACTGCCGCCGCAGCATTGGACCGAGTCGCGCCTTTGCGGCCTCTGACCCGACGTGGATCTCGACCATCCCCTTGGTTTACCGAGGGGCTGAGAGAGATGAAACGTCGGAAAAGACGCCTAGAGAGCAGTTGGAGGGACAGCCGAACCGAATCCGCTCGAACACAGGTAAAGATACATCTTAGATCTTACC